ACAAAAATGTTGACTGTCAATGCTCAGACTCATTAACGAGTCGCGTCCACATTCCATTTTAGAACGTGACAATCTTTGGCTCTAAAATACGCGTCATCCGCAGCAGCTCAGCGCCGGCTGTAATCTGCTTTGCAAAGGATTAACGCAGTGGTGATCCTTGAAAGTTGGCAACACTGGTTTCCTCCATTTAAATCCATCAAAAATATCGATTTTACAAGTGAGGCAGGTTGCTTCGCCAAGAATCGAGTGTTTTACATACATTCAAACGGAGGAAAAACGGCGTTGCCAACTTTCAAGAATGACCACTGGAGTAATGTCACACGAGCAATTGAGTGTGGTCAAAGTTGACGCTAAAAAATCATGCCCTCTTCAGCAACGTTATACATATTTTTCGTTGAAGTTTTAGGAAATATTGATTGATATTTCAATTTTGCAAGATGAGCAAAATTTATCCAAAACTTTCCAAGGAAAAACTTCATGAGTTCTTTAGAAATTTTAAATCATGTTAGAGGAAATTTGACGACGACAATATGTTCATATGTTGTTTTTTCCTGGACATGTAGTAGTGCTCTGTGCTTACTAAAAGGGTGCCGCGTTACCCAAGTATCGTTGGTGAGAGAATGCTATAATAAGTGAGGAGGGCACTTTCGTGATCATCTTTCTCAAAAGTTTCCGTACTTTGCCCTCCAAGCAAGAGACTTAAAGAGCTCTTAAAACTTTAGATTTTACAGCCGAGGGAACTTTAGTGCATGCCGTCCTCCAGCACGTATCAAGCGACGGAAATCCATGCATTGACAAAGATGAATTTCATCAAAAGTAAACTTTTTTCAAGTGTAGCGTAACCTGGCGATGAAGAGGGGAAATGCTGAAATAATGTTTAGATGGTATATTTTATGTCATCACGCACTTAAACCCAATACAAAAGTTGAAGCTCCCCAAGGTACACATTACACAGCTTTCCACTTTGTAATAAAACTTCAAAATGCTTTTGTGAGCTGTGAGATAATAACGCCGTACTTCAAGTCGGGCATATGTTAATTTGATTTAATTCTCACTTGTGAACAATAAATATTCGTGAGAATTTCGAACGGTTTTAGTACCTAGAACTAGCAACTTCATTAAGTTGGAATCGATAATTAATTAGGGCACTTACGAGAGTAACCATCTTATCAATATCAGATTTTAATGACGATCAATAAGAGGTACTTTTTTTACGACGATGAAAGGATGATAAAACATTTCCAGATATAATGAACGCAAATTCTCGTCATAACAATCTTTGTTAAATGAAAAAAGTGTTCCTTGTTTTGCTTTGACGGTATAAAAATTACAAGGAAAAACTCCCTGTTTGTATAAAATGCGCTTAGGAAGAAAACGATTCGTGAAATAAATATTAAGTGCTTCCAGAATTAATAAAGATATTATAAATTAAACGGACAAAAATGCATTAAGCATTTTCGCCCACAATTTGTATTTTTTCTTCTGAAATTTTAACGTTCCCGCAAAATTTTCGTGAATATTAACTCCCAAAAATTTTGCGGGTTTCGCTTCTGAAAATTCCTCTATCTCACAACTTTATCGCATGAGAACAAAATTGTAATAAGTATTTTATACGATTCATGCATCTATTTCTAAATCAACAGATGAAAAAAATCTTGATGAATATGAAAAGGGGAGAAATCCTGTGAAATCAAATGAGAAACCGCCGCGAAACTTATATCCTTGGTTTATATATACATACATATTTTATTTATTATTCTTTTATTATTAATTAAAAATTACTTGACTTCATTCTTTCTCTGCGCACCGACGAAATACGAGTGCGAGGATGCAAACAATAATCCGTTATCGAACAAACTGTGAAAACTGTGAAGGCGCTTTGATACAACTATTCGTTCTCAAGAGATGCCCGTGTTGCATGCACACGGGGTTGAAGACGCTCTGGTTATCTTCGTCATAACGTCTGGCTAGCACAGTTAATCGTGCTCAAGAGATGTCTATAGTGCATGTATAACAGAGTTCACCTTAACGAACTTCGGGATTTAGGTGAGAAAATGGGATATCAACACTACAGCACCACAAGATGTACAATTTCCGGAACTTTGATTTACGATTAATAAATTTTCAAACTATTTTCGGAAAAAAATGAACTTTCATAATACTCTTCAATCCGATGAAGTCAATACGTTACATTCCGATATTATGGCAGAGAAGAGGCAAAGAACTTCTCTTTGATGAAGTCCGACATAGGTCTTGTTTTTCGTATGTATCGAAGTCAAGATTTTTGTAATTTCAATGTTTCATGTGTATGTATGTATGAGCCGCTTTTACGGCGCGCTTGGGCGCTCTGCGACGCCTATTCTCCACAGGAATCTGTCATGGTAGAGATCCTCCGGAAGCTGGCATCTCTCCATCTCTTCATGGATGCCCTCTACCCACCGTTTGGCTGGACGCCCTCTCCGTCGCCTACCTGGGGGGACCCACTCCAACACCTTCTTCGGCAACCTGGTATCAGCTATTCTCTGCACATGCCCATACCATACCAATTGCTTGGTCATGATATCGTGCACAATCGTCCCCTCAACCCCATTATCTCTCGGACCCGTTCAATGTTTCAAAATATCCAATTATGTTATTTCTTGATGAAGGGACACTATAAAGGAAAATGTATTCCTTGATTTTCTGTAAATACGTTTTAATATAAATGAATAAAATTAAAAAAAAGTGTCAAGAAAACTATCGGGTAATTATAGGTTTATCTGGTAATAATATAAAACATGAATGGAGATTTGCAACGTTGCAACCGCAATACACAATTTTTGACTTCACTCATGCATTGATAAGAAATATGCCATGTAAACAACACATTCTTTAATATACTTCTTACCATTGCGTGTCCAAAATTTTTCGCGCTGTGCGTTTTTCACACATCACATTGATGAGACAACATTTTGAGATGAAATCAAGAAAAATTACAATTTTTCTTCATTTCATCTCAAAATGTAATGTAAATGTGTGTAATGTTTGTAATTATACATGATTACAAAAAAAAATGCATCAAATTAAAAAACGCAAGGCTTTTTTTCGCTCATTGAAACTTACCTCTTCTACGAATTTGTTTTATCTTTGTTAGTTCCGAGCCACACATATCAAGTTTCCACAAAATCTTATGACAAAAACGACTTCGCACAATAATTGTGGACATCAATTCTGCAAATCATCGCTATCACAGCTTACAAAAAACGTATAATTTGACGAGGTTACAGTGATGCTACCTCCCACTGCTCGCCCGAACTCCGAAGTTGTTGTTACACGCATATCACTTGAGCGTGATTTTTGGCCGGACATAGTGACGTAAAAAAACCAGAGCGCCTGCAATTCAGTGTGCATGCAACCCTGACGTCTCTTGAGTACGAATAGTTGCATTGAAGCGCCTTCTATTATTCCCGCTTATGATAACGAAATGTATTGCACCCTCACATTTGCAAGCCGTCGTTGCACAACGACGACAGAGGGCGAAATAGGCAAAATTGGAAAATCAGAGAAATAATTTTAGAAAGCAATCCAAAAAAGTTGATTTAACATGCAACGTTGCACCTATATTTATTGGCAAAAACTTACTTCTTTAATCGCTTTTTATCAATTCAGAAATTTTAAGGTGAAACTTTAATGCTGATTAGTTTGTAATAAATTGAAGTGCTCCCTAAACTTACTTCAATCACAATGCAAACCTTATGAACCTTTCGGAGGAAAAGAGCGTCTACAACGACTATAGATTTAGCCCTGAAACTTTAATAATAAAAGTACCTATTCTTATATTCCTTATTATTCTCAGTTGTGATGAAGGAAGATAGAAATTCCTCCTGGGGCAGAAAAGTAGCCAAGGATTTAAGAAACTTTTCCGACCATACATTTTAAAGACAGAATCTACGCGTCTGAGAGGTGAGACGAAACATTTATAACAGAAATGCTAAGTTTTAGTTCGTGCTCACGCAATGTTTTCTCTTTTCCCTCGAAATGTTGATCAAATAAAATAAGATACAACCCTTCAGCAAGACTTAGCTTCGTTACTGAAATTTTCTTCAGTTTTGTCGCCTAGGATTTGTTAACCGCAAAAGTGCGAATAAAAAACCTGGATCGAAAAATAAATTAGAACATTCGTGATCTTGGTTAAGGACGCTCGAAAAACGTTACTTCCGTGGAGAGGATATTGAACGAAACGGACGATAAAAACGGAGATGGCTTTGAAAATTGTATTAAAAATATTTAACCGGATAACAACTATACAACTCCATGTCATGCTCTTAGGTTTTTATTAGAATCACCATTTGATGAGAAAATCGAATTTTAAAATGGTTTCTCAAAATGCACGTCTAAAAGTAGTGTGTTTGTGTATTTTTCAGTGTAGCTGTTTCTGACGTTTACTTTTTTAAATGAAACTTTAAAGTGAAGGAGAGGATCCATCTCGCAAGTGTTTATGGCTTTTTTCAACAATTTTCCATCTAAATAAGTAACCCATAATGACACTCTAAAGGGTCAAAGTGTAATCTCAGTTGTGATCAAGTGTAATCTACAGTTACACAACAAAATTGTTTTTTGCCACAATATAGTTTCTTAACAGTCACATAAAATGATCACAATTTTGACACTTTGACAGTGGAGTAACTGTTCATAAAGTATAACTGAAAATTAGATTTTTTCCGCTGTTTTAGGTTTTTTTAAAAACAATTTTCAATGTAAATAATTACCCCTTTATGACACTCAAAAGGGCTAAAGTATAATCTTTTTGCCAAAAAATAATGCCCAATCATGGTTATAAAACAAAGTTGTGTTTCATATCAATACAGTTACTCAACAGTCATACGAATGATCACAACTTCGACACTTTGACAATCAAGTAACTGTTCATAAAGTGTCACTGAAAATTTGCTTTTTCCTGCTGTAGGTAGCAAATACACAACGTGCGATGCGCAAGGACAACAGTAAACAAAACACCATACCTGGTTCCCGAGTGAAAGTAACCAACAGGTAATGCTGGAACTGGGCACCCGGACAAAACGTCGACGGAAAACAATCGATAACAGCGTACGCTTATTCACGCACTATTAAAAATAAATCGTCGAAAAAAAGGGAGCCCGCGATGCGAACTTCGTGCTTCCTACCGGGTAACTATCGCGAATCCCTGTTCGAAATTATCGCGAGCTAATTTCGCGGATCAGAACTCAAACACACTGGAACCGAAACCTCGGGGAAAGGATCAACAGGTTCACATTTGCCTGGGGAACGAGTCGGTACCGGGAGGCGGCAAGCGGGACACACGGGATGTCCTACCAACTTAGCTACACTGAAGTTGTGCCGCGCGCTGGCCAAGACAAATCCTAAGGTTATTAAAGCCAGCAGCTGTCGACCGCGGCGCGCATACCCCAGAGTGTGCGTCGTGCTTTTTCAAGGGTCGCTTCCTCGCCCGGCCCCTCCCTCGCTCGCCTCGCC